GCAAGTAAAGTAACATAATTCAACCCACCGAGAGAGAGCAGGGCAACGGAGACAAACCTCACGCAACAAAACCGTGCGGTCAACCAAATTAAAGGCATTCTAGAAATCCACGAGCAACATAGAGAGGCCAACGTCACCACCACGAGCCTCAACCAATCGATTAACATCATGAAGAATAGCCTCACCACCCGCCGGCACCCTAACACCAAACTAAAGACCTCCTAGATAGTTTCCCAGACGGGGAACAATTAAAGAGGCCCCAACCTTTGAAACCAGACACCTCTAAACGGTACCCATATCAATAGGCCGAATACCACCACCAGGCTTAACAAGTGGCGTAAGAGGAGCACTAGCAATGTATTCACCCAACTCAGCAAGACATTTCCCAGCGAGAAAGAGATTAACCACCTGCGTAATATAGTCTACTAACTCATCCAAAATAGAAACTGCAGCACCACTCAAGCAATCCATAAGGTGTTGAGCACGCAAGTCATCTCTACCGCACGACGTACCATGCGGAAAACCCCTAATCTGATCTAAAACAACAGCAGGAGTAGCAATAAGGTGCTGATCAACAGGAATATCCGGTAAGATAGGAGCCGGAAAGGAAGGGTGTTTTGCTTGTAAATCTGCAAGAGTAGCATCATTATAAGGGGCAAGACCAGAAGACAAAAGAACCCTAACTGCAGCAGTGTAGTGCTCGTTACTAATCTTCCTCTTACATTGCTTAATATTACGCTATGACAAATCATGCTCATCATCAGCGTCCAACTAAGGAGGAGACACATCAGCCAACGTGTCCCGCACAAGATGCTTGAACCACTAGGCTCACACCAAGATCGAATAGCAGCGGCGATACTCTCTTCTTGCCGCTGCCGCCTGACACCCGAAGAACACTCAAGACTACTCCTTGGAGAAAAGGTTTTTAGAACACAGAGAGGAAACACAAGCAGTTGAACCCAACAAGAGACATCATCATGCTTGCAAATCACCTCATCAAGCGCTGCTTTGAGAACCCAAGAAAAACCCAAGAAAAACTTAGGAGGAATAGATTTCACCGAACGAAACTGATTAGATAGCAAACTATCCAGGAGAGCAACATCGAACGCATAAAGAGGCTCACGAGGCACACTAGGAATAAGATATACCTCGGAAGATGGACCCTGCGGTTTAGGAAAACCATAAAGAATAAACCTAACAACACCATCCCTAGAATCCGGAGGGGCCACAATATCATCAGAACCAAGGCCATGTCAACACTTCGTACTAAAAGTATGCGTCTTGAAACACTCCCCACAAAACCAAATGCCCATACGATGAAATGTTGACTCCGCTTCTAAGAAAATAGCCTAATCAGAAGTAAGAGAGTGACGGATCATATCCTGCGCATCCCCACAACAATGACAGTCACGGAGATGAGTGAGCAAAGAAGTTTTAGTGAGCCTGTTACCCCCACCATCCTAACACCCATTAAGACCCACAAACGGACAATGAAACCGAACCATAGGAAGCATAACACCCACAACTTGTTGCACCCAAATAGACCAGAAAATTGCTCTCAAAACAGCACCCAAACGCCACCAAAAAACCTGATCAGAATGCCGGAAAAGCCACCGAAACACACTACAATGATTAACGACGATCACTACATCCCAAAATAGAATAACCCTGCGCTGCACCATACTCGCTAAACATTGAAGATTATGTCGCCAAACACATTGCTGTTGAGACGCCGGAGAATGACGCCTGAGACGTCGGAGAACGATGTTGTTGAGACGCCACTATCACCGCATCAACCAGAATAAAATAGCACTAGAAAAAACGCGAAACTAAAAGCCGTTGAACGCAGAATAACGCTGAAACACCGCCTGAGAAACAAAGACGTCGCCCACAGCCCCGCCTGAAGATTCTAGCGGCTGAAATTCGCTTGAAAATAGCCTGAAATTCGCCTGAAAATAGGTTGAAATACGCTTGAATAGAGGCTTAAATACGCCTGGAAATCGCCTGTAACAACCTGAAATTCGCTTGAAACCGCTCGAAATCCACTTGCCCTAAAAGAGTCGCGTTGAGAACCTGACGTTTGACCTGATAGAGCCTAATAAACGCCGGGAAACCTGCCTGAAAATGACGTAAACACCCTACCCTACCCTAATCGTCCCCAACCGAGAGGAAACCGTTATTATTATTATTATTATTATTACTATTACTATTATTACTATTATTATTATTATTATTACTATTATTATTATTATTATTATTATTATTACTATTATTACTATTACTATTATTACTATTACTATTACTATTATTACTATTACTATTATTACTATTACTATTACTATTATTACTATTACTATTACTATTACTATTACTATTACTATTACTATTATTATTATTATTATTACTTTTATTATTACTATTACTATTATTATTACTATTAGTTATTATTATTATTATTATTAAAATTATTATTATTATTATTATTACTATTATTATTATTATTATATTATTATTATTATTATTATTATTATTAGTTATTATTAACAAAAACCTACAAAGTCAAACGATTTACAAGAAATTAGTGGGAAGTCGAGATACAATCTGGGCCCCCACCCCTCTAGCTATAGCGAACCCGATCCTGTTGAAGATGTGAGCAGCTGCACGAGCTCCAATATCTTGAGTCCTAGCGAACGCCTGAACCCGCTTCAGCAACGCAACATCATCCTTCTCTAATTCCCCCTATGAAGAAAAGGAGAAAGGAAGAAAACCATAGTCAATGGCCCTACAACGCGCCTCATACTTGTCTTGCTTCCATTGAGCCGCAGCAAACACAACACGACCAGGAACGGAGTCAGACAACTCAGATTGTGTCAAAGGAGAAGACCCTGTCAAGTCAACACATACATCAAGGCCTCTATCCCAGGAATAAAGCAACACATCTGCTGGTCGAAGAGCCCCGTCGTTCCCTCCAGTCAACCCAATGTTAATCTCCTTTCTTGCAGAAATCCTAGAGCGAAAATAAATATCAACAAGGGTATCACGAACAATGTTGTGCCGATGTTTAATACCCACCATCCCAGCACAAGACACTGCATGATCCCCATAAATATCCCCATCAAAAACCCTTGAGGAAGAAGAACACGGTGACGAAATAGAGCACAAGGGAACACCCAACCGGTAGCAAAGAACACAACAGTAAGTCTTACCATTCATAGTCTGACCCAAACCTGATATCAGGACCGCTTGTAACCATACAGAAGAGTGATCCCCCTGCTGGGACTTCCATAAGGCAACCTGACGCGAAGATAAGGAGAAAATGGATTCTACAGATGCAGTGACCTTTGTGAAATATATATCTGCTAATTTCTTCATGAGTTTAGGGGCAGCGATCTCACTAGGGTTATGCATAAGGTCAGTCTCCACAGTCCTATTAAAAAGACTAGGAGCTCCATCAAAGGTCGGTCCTGGACCAACAATACCAGAACTGCAAAGAAGTGTAGCCTGAAGACTAGAATACTGCAAACGGGAAGCAAGGAAAGCATAGTGCCAAACATCACCCGTTGAATAGACACCCAATCCACCATAAGAAAAAGGTAAGGTGGCAAGTCGCCACTGCAAATTACCAAAACCTGGCCTTGAAGCAGTTACAATGCGCTCCAAAGAAGCTCGAAGGGCCATATCAAAAGAAATCTTGGCTTCTTCAAAAAGACGAGGAGGACAAGTGCGCATAGAAAAGTAGAGTTTTGAAACCCCAGTACACGCACGAAGTAGTAACAACTCACATTGAGGATCATCAAGCTTAGCAACAACATCTAATAGCACAATGGTCTTTGCCACTCTCTGCGAAATAAGCTCACCACAGAAAGAGGAATCCGCACTAATAGGACCACCAAGCAACTTAACACCAAGCAGAGGACGAGTAATATTTGGAGGAAAAACATCGACCAAACGGCTACGTGGATCCTCCATGGGCCAGAAAACTTCTGTTTTCTCAACGTTTACATGGAGTCCGAGACGAGGCCCCTCCACCAAAATCAACTCCATAACCTTTCCTACCACCAGGGTGTCACCAATAATAGTGTCGTCATCCAAATACCAAGCCTGTAAACATAAGTTAAAAGAATCCCTAGTTCGGCACACCAACGGATTGAGCACCAAAGCAAAAAGCAAAGGGCCAAGAGGATCACCCTGCTGCACTCCTTGACATGATCTTAAGATATGCTCCCCATAAAACTGTATGGCTGGAGTAGAGTAACAGAATTCAACCCACCGTGACAGAGCAGGACAACGGAGACGAACCTTATGCAACAAAACCGTACGGTCCACCAAATTAAAGGCATTCTAGAAATCCACCAGCAACATAGAGAAGCCAACATCACCACCACGAGCCTCAACCAATCGATTAACAGCATGAAGAATAGCCTCACCACCCGCCGGCACCCCAATACCAAACTGAAGACTTCCTGGATAGCTTCCAGACGCGGACCAATTAAAGCAGCCCCAACCTTTGAAACCAGACGCCTCCAAACATTACCCACAATAATAGACCGAATACCACCACTAGGCTTAACAAGGGGCATAAGAGGAGCACTAGCAATGTATTCTCCCAACTCAGCAGGACATTTCCCAGCGAGAAAGAGATTAACCACCTGCGTAATAGAGTCTACCAACTCATCCGAAATAGCAACTGTAGCACCACTCAAGCAATCCATAAGGTGTTGAGCACGCAAGCTGTCTCTACCGCATGACGTACTACGTGGAAAACCCCTAATCTGATCCAAAACAACAGCAGGAGTAGCAATAAGGTGCTGATTAACGGGAATATCCGGTAAGATAGGAGCCGGAAAGGATGGTTGCTTTGCCTGTAAACACTACTACAAAATTGGGCTTAAGTAACACCTACCGGTAACACTTTAACAAAATCATGATTGTTTGATTTTTACGTAACACTTTTGTAACATTGTTGTTTTAGGTAACAATTTTTGTAACACTTTAATATTGTGTAACACTTCACTGTAACACTTTGATATTAGGTATCACTTGGTTGTAACACTTTGATTTTTTGTTTTTTAATTTTTTTTTTCTTATCAAAACCGGTTACCTGATTCAAACATTCAATCGACCCTCATAGTGTAACCCAACTTTCTTCCTCCTCGTATTTCTCCCTTCCTCGGCTTCTATTGCACCTCCTTTCCTTGGCTTCCACCACTACCTTCTTCTCATTCCCGGTGCTCCATCGTAGCCCCCGTCCACCACAGCCTACCTCCATCGCGATCGGTGCTCCAACTCGAAGATGTAAACAACAGCCCGTGCTTCGAGCGAAGAGACAACAATTGCCACCTCCAAAGACATCAATTACCACCTATAAGCGTCCATCCTAGTCGGTCGCTTCCACCTTAAATTTTAGGTTAGGGTTAGTCGTTTCCTCTCCCTTCCACTATCAACAAGAATTTGAGCTAGCTAAAGTTAGGGTTTTGATTCCCTTTCTCTGATCTTATTGATGAATTCAAAATTTGATGTTGAATTTGCCTATTAACATATTTAATTTCACTATTTTCATACGGAAATTTGCATGCATATTTAATTTCACTAATTAAATGAGTTTGGGATTTTTCGTTTTTTCTTTTTTTCGATTACTGCTGATTTGATTTATCTTTTAATTTGATCTTTGTTGACTAATCTGACCAATTATAATTTAATTAATTTCTTTTTTGAATTTATAACTCATAAGCTTGTCAAGAATCCAAGTAATTATGGGCGAAAGAGATGAAGAAATCCAAGGCAATGCCAATTATAATCAGATGAATGGTGTTTAGTTGTTAATTCCTGCTGCTGCCAAAACTACCACTCTTGGAAAGGTTTTCTTTTTTATTTCTTTATATATATATACATATTAAGCTCTAATTATGGAATTGGGTTTTTATATTTCATTATCCCTATAATTTTTCTAATTATTTGTTACTTTTGTTACAAAATTAGTGATAGTTGCATCAGTTGCCACATTTTTGTGGGGTTAAGATGATTAATTAAATAATTTTCTACAATTTACCTATTTTCTCCTTGTATTTTGTTTGATGTTATTTGGGATTTTAGGTGTATGATGAGTTTAGCTTTCACTTTAGTCAGAAAAACTCAGTTATACTATATTTATCTCTTTCTCATGGTTGCGTAATCAGTTACTTCTAGTCAAGCTCTTGGTTGTTAGGTTACAATTAGAAAGTTAGGCAAGAATGTAATGCTTTTGAGTTAACATAGGCAAGGAATGATGTGCCCTTTATTAGCACTTGTGTCTGGATTTGACCTGCTATTAAGTACAACCCTAGGGCTTGAAACTGTTGTTTGTAAAACTCACGATCCTGACTTTCGGTGTCATTTTTCTTGGTTTAAGCTGCTAACTACCTTAACATCAAGAACCTGCTGTAACTAATGCCTGCTACAGCTACTGCTATTTGCTACTACTCATAAATTTGTGTATATGTTTCTCGACCTCTCATGCAAATGAAGCTCTAATGGCTGTCACATTATATGTAGACAGTCATTACCCCGGATAACCAGGCCAGGTTATAGGGGCTACAGTGTTACCTGTGGATCATGTAAGAATATTAAAAGTTGGCTTTTAGCTAAGTGGATTGTTGATTTTCTTTTGGTTATCTGTGTAGGAACTTACCATGGTTAAAGATAGGGTAAATAAGAACATGTGTAACTCCTTATATGTGATTGCACTGGTGGTTGAAATCCTGTCTTCTTTTCATGATGCATTATCTAAAGCAAGGAGCTGTTTGCTGCTATTACTGCTGCCGTTGATGTCACTGTTACCGCTGACTACTGCTGTTGTTATTGCTGTTATGGTTGTTTGCTGTTGTAACTGATGTCTGCTGTTTTAACAAATGTCTGCTGCCACTGCTATTATGGTTGTCTGCTGCTACTATTGTTACGGTTGAATTGCAAGCTGCTACTGTCTTCGGTTACTACTGATGACTGTTTGCAATTGCGCTGATTGTTGTTATGCTCTTCTGCACCATTGAGTTGTTCCTCTTGGGCTATTCTTTGAATCAAATCTAGTTTTGCCAAAGCAAGAATACTTTGTGGGAATGAGTTAGTTCACACGAAGTCTGATTCAATTAAGGTATCTTAGGGATTATTTTTATTGATCATATACAATATGTTTGAGTTTGCTTTCTTTTTGTCCATGCAGTGCGGCCACTCAAGAATATAGTGAGGGTTTGTATGGTTTTGATGACTGATGCCGGAAAAGGTACTTGTTAAAAATTGTAACTTGGGATCAGTCACTGTATCCAGCAGCTCCAAAGCATGCCGCGAGAAACAATGAAGGGATCATCTAAATTAAAGGCATGTACAGTTTTAATATTTGAGGGATTTTGATCTCATTTTGCCTTATTATTTTTCTCAATGTACTTATTACCAGTTTGTTGGTAGGTTCCTTGAGTTAAGTGAAACATTGAGGTTTGGAACAACACCCAAGTTTCACAAAGCCGCTATACTAACTGATGTTATTCGGCAAGTAAAGCTGTTACGTGAAGAAACTTGTAACTTAACCAGCCAAAATGGCGAATTAAAAGAAAAGATTAATGAATTGAAGGTTCTGACTCTTTTATATTTGCTTTGATCTGTAAGCTTTGAACAAATTAAGGATTTTACATCAACCTGCTAGCCAATAATCTCACAAATCAGCCCTAATACCAAATAATACTTTGTATATTATTGGAGTAATAGTTAATTCTGCTTAACTAATAAACTAAATTCAGTAAAAAAAAAAAAACTAAATTTAATTTCTCATAGTATTTCTATTATATTGGCTCCTTTTCTTTTTATTGTTAGATTTTCATGATAATTCAATGGCTCACTACCTATCTCTCGATGTGGCAGGACCTACTTTGTTTGCTCCTGTAGTTGAGATGGCCATGACAATTGTTGAGGAGAGTGGAGGACGATACCATGTTTTACTCATTATTGCAGATGGGTAGGTATTTGCTTTCTTTTAATTTGAAGTGTGGGTTGATCAATTTCTTTGAGCTTCTGTTTTTTTTGCACTATAAGATTTGTATGAATTGGCTGAAATGTTATGCTAACAAATGAACTTGCATTGCTCTCGGTATATGGTACTCAATTTATCTATTCTAAGGCTGTAATACAATATGAACTAACATGATCAAGATATATTTGGAAGGTTTGACATTATAGGCTTCAGTATACATTTTTTTGTGTTCACTTGTTAGGCCTAATTATGTCTCTATGTTTAACTTTAGTGTATATTTGATTGATTTTTAATTTTAGTTTTTTTTGCTTATTGTGCAGATTAATCGAAGACACTCGTAAATCATCAAGCAATTAGTAGAAGATAGAGAGAAACATGATTCCATTAGTTTTATTTCCTTGGAGCTATTGTGTAGTTTTTTTCTTTTTAATTGTATATAATAATAGTGTAATGGAGTACTACTAAGTTTTGATTTATTTGGTTTTTTCTTGTATTTGACTTCACCTTTATCAATTAAAGATTGAATTTAGTTTTATTGATGATGAATATAGCTTGTGGTGATCAGGTGAAGTACTTTGTATTAATTTGTGACTTTTTAATAATAATAATAATAATAATAATAATAATAATAATAATAATAATAATAATAAAATCGAACCTTTAGTGAGTCCATTACCCCCACCATCCTGACACCCATCAAGACCCACAAACGGACAATGAAATCGAACCTTAGGAGGCATAACACCCCAAAACTTGCCACGAAAAGAACACAAAACACCCACCAAAACTTGCCATGAGAAGAACACAAAATAGCACCCGAACTGCACACTAAATCCACACCAGAAATGCACTAAATACACCAAAAACTACACCGAAACCACCCCAAAACTGCACTGAATTGGCCAGAAACCCGACCAGAAAACCGCACTCAAACCGACTGAAAAACAAAGCCCTTTGCCGGAGCAATTAACGCTTGAAAAACGGACGAAATAAGGTCGAAACAAAGCCCTTTATTATTATTATTATTATTATTATTATTATTATTATTATTATGTTTAAGAAATATGATTCTTGTTATGAAAAAAATAAAGAGTGAATAGAAGAGTCTCATCTAAAAGAGGATGAAGCTATTGATAAACTTATTGTAACTTGGGTGGCTAAGCGCGTGTTATGGTTAGCCATTTTGTGGAGCTCTTTAGTTATTGGCAACATAATGATGAAAAATATGTAAACAAATATTTTAATGGGTATAAATGTCTACACACTAATCTTAAAATTATAACTAAAGGCAATTAACATTAATGAAGGCAAAAAAAATGTAAATAAATAATTTAGTGGGTAAAATTGTTCAAACACTGTTAAATAATTAAATCACACAAGGAAAAACTTAGAGGCAATTAACATCATCTTAATAGGGGCATATAAATAAACAAACATTTTAAGGATATAATAATTAATAAACTTTTTTTCCGTTTTAAATTGGCCCATTACAAATTTTAGGGGCCTAATTTTTTGTCATTAGCACAGAGCCTCTAAATCGCCGGAGACGGCCCTGCATTTCAACTCCAAAATCAAAGCTAATCTTTATTCCTTAGGCTCTTCCTTACCAAAATTTGAATTTTATAATTATCTTCCATAATCTTCGTAATGCTATTGTTTAACTCCAAGCGCAAGGCTTTTATGAGATTAAGGCCTTGTTCACTTCATCTTAAAAAAATAATATTCAGTAAAAATAATTTCAGTTCAGTAAAAATAAGTTCAGTTCAATAAAAATAATTTCAGTTTAGTAAAAATAAGTTCATTTTAGTTTAATTCAGTAAAAATAATTTCAGTTCAGTAAAATTAAGTTCAGTTTAGTAAAATTCAGAAACAGTAAAGAAGAAATATAATAGAAAATCAGTAAATATAATTTCAGTTCAGCAAAAATAATTTCAGTTCAGTTAAATTAATTTCAGTTCAACAAAAATAATTTCAGTTTAGTAAAATTAATTTCTGTTTAGTAAAAATAATTTAAGTTCAGCAAAAATAATTTCATTTCAGTAAATTTAATTTCAATTCAACAAAAATAAGATGAAGTGAACGGGGCCTAACACAATTGAAGATAGATTTAGGGGCAATGCAACTAAACGAAAAAAGTATGAAAAATTGTCATTAATAATACAGTTTTTAGTTGAATAATTTTAAACAAGACAACCTTTTGATTATTCCTAACTATTACAACCTTTGATGGGTCTCAATTTTAAACAAGACACAACCACATATAACTTGTCAAACTTGTTGTCCACGACAAGTGTCGCTTTATGATTGGTTTAAGAAAATTATTTATTTTATCCTTTTTCTCTATCCTCCCCTCCAACACCACCATTTCTCCACCTCACCATAGCTCCACCTATGGAAGTCCCCTTATCACATCCCCACAATCGGATATGTTGGGTTTTACTCTAATCTAATTACAAGTGCGGAAATAACCCTATGCCTGGATTCATGTATAATACAAAAAATTAATTAAAGTATAATATCTACTCTAAATATTATACCTTTGAAACGTGCTTGTTAATATGAACGAAGCCTAAGATTCGCAAGCGCAATCCCTCTATCGAAAGTCGACCCACACTATCAAATCTGCCTTTAGTGTATTTTCTTAGAATACCAGAAAAAATCCTTCAAGGTAGAGTGTTTAGATTTGGGTTCTCTCTTTTAAGGAGACAAGATTAATTGTGCAATTAATTGTTTGATTTTCTAATGAGTTATGAGTATTAATAATAAATAAACACCTCCTTAAATAGTTCTAGTATGAATAGGATAATTACATTTGAGAAATAATCATCCCACAATCATTAATATAACCGACTAACCACATGCACAAAAACATGGTCGAGTCATAGTACAAATAAAACTCTCGGCTCTTCCCTTGCGTACCAAGAAAGGCAACTAGCTGAGCTTCGTGCGCCAACTTGCACAACAGTCAGCCCAGGCACACATAGGCTAGCGCTGCTATTGCCCTTGGAGGCTTGTAACCTACAAGCAGGTTTAGGCCGTCTGCTGCTCTTGCGAGCTAGCGAGGCCTGGCCCCCTATGCTTAGGTTGGGCCTTGCGCCTGGCCTAGGCTTGCCTAGCCTCGGTTCGGCCTCATGCAAGACCTTTGGGCCTAGCTCGTCGCTTTGATTGATTTTATTTGTAGCTTTGAGATCCACCTGATCCAATTGACGACATATGTAATACCCTGGAAATTTCCTCCTTTTAAAATACTCTTCTTACTCTAAATAAAACTCATTTCAGGAAATAACTAAGATATTACCGCCACCGTGATAACGGCTAAGGCTATTTTCAAAGTTACACAGCGGGAGACCAACTTTCAAAAACTCAAATAAAATAAAGTTTAATAAAACAAATTAAAACTTCAAACCAACTTACATAAAACCAATAAATTGGAACCATTAAAGGCCCTTTTTAAAACCAAACTAAAAATATAAAAATAATTCATGTTAGTGTCAACAATCACATAAATAATTCAATACTATAAATAATAAACAAAGAAACATGTAACCCTCTTCGCTTAATCCCATCATGCTTGATATGCTCATTCTCTACCTGTACTTCTCTTTATTTCAACCTCACTACTCGCCATATAAAATGGGTCATAGAAGGGCCAATCCAAGGAAAAGCCAAACACAAACAACAAAGTACGAATCAACAAAAACTGAGTACATATGCACCAATAGGAATAATCACACTAACATGAATATCCTAGTAATAGACATTAAATAAATAAATAAATAAATAAAACATGTTTGTCATACAACACAAGTCAACTTATCTTTGACTCGTGACTATAGTTTAATTTATTAATATATAGCTTTGGATAATGCATCGAACGGGTTTCCTTCCTTAGAAATAGCCCATTAAAATATTGAGCTTCCAATTAGGGAGTTACCCCAATTGGTACCTACTATCACTACAAGAAAATTGTCTTTTCGTAGCGATTATTTTGTAGCGATTTTACATTCGCTACAATATGTACATATGTTTGTGAAATAGTAGTGGAATCCGTATCATTTTGCAATCGAGATAGTAAACCCATATGAAATTGATACGAAAAACATAATAATATTTATTCAGCATATTTATGCACATTTATAAAATTATGGAAAAGCGTATAGTTTACAAACGCCACTAAAACCTAAAAATTGATACGAAAAGTCTTTTTTACACTAGATTTTAAAATTTTGTTTGACAAAGAGAACATAAAATATGTCATAGCTTCTTGGATAAACATTTAATATTAAAGCTTGAGGTTGCATGTTCTAATCTTGTATAGATCATATGTAGGTTTTTTTTTTTTTTTTTTTTTTTTTTTTTTTTTTTTGTAGAAAATGAGTTCAACATTTGTAGCGATTATAATCACTACAATAATCACCTTGATTGAATGTTGTTTTCCGTTATGATTAATAAGGACAACCCCAGTGAAAGCGAAAACACCACTAAAGGCTATGTCAACGATTGATATTGTATCGAATAACCATTAGTTGAGATTTTTTTATAGCTATTATAATCAATACGAAATGTTAAAATAATCGCTTCGAAAAGGTATTTTTCTTGTAGTGTATGTCATCTTGTGACAGAATTCCAGCGCATTAATAAAAAAAGAAAGTACAGCGTCTTTGACCCCTGTAGAAGCTATGGTTAAATATAAAACCCCATAACTCCCTCATATGTTCATACTCAAGGTATATACGTTCCAAGAGTTTTGGTGCGTATCCTCTTACACTTTACGTGATTTACCAATTTAACTTGTGATGACTCCAACCAATCAATTAACATAAACATCACAACGAACAACACATATTTCCATTTCATTCTTGAATTAATTAGTGAGCACCTACTATTTATTTTAATAAGGGTTCCTTGCCTAGTTTTGTGCACAAAATTCCACGATTACTACCTTAGTGCATAAAATGCAATTATAAACTTCCTTGACTCAATCCCAACTTATGTGAGTGAGTAAAAAAATAACTTCCTTGACTCAAATCTAATAATAAATGGGTGAGAATAAAATCATGAATCATGCTCAATAAATATAACTTTAGGTCTTTTCTATAAACATAAGTAAAGGTGGGCAACGTGTCGTGTCGTGCCGTCACGGGCCGTGCCTGGCGGGCCACGGTCTCCGGCGTGCCGTGCCGTGCCACCGTGACAGAAGTATCGTTCCGTGTCGTGCCACCCAAAATCGCAAGCCAGCCACGGCACGGCATGGCCTATGTGTCGGGCGGGCTCGTGCCGTGCTGGCTGCTGACTTGCTTTTTTTTTTATTTTTTTTTATTTTTATTAAATGTTTATACTAATATTTTTCTAAAATAAATTAAGTTTAATATTTATATTTAGTTTATACTATTACTTTACATTTTATACTTAGTTTGTAATTAATATTGCTTATTATTTATTATATTTATTTTTGTATTATGAATTATTAAATATTATAATTTTTTTATGTTAAATTATTTAACAAATTATAACTAACGGGAAAAAAGGCAAATTGGACTTTGGATGTGAATAATGCATACTTCATATTA